CCAAGAATTTTCATTTGCTTTAGTGTTAGAAGAGTGGCCCTTTGACTATCATATCTTCAATCTGGTAAGAAGACCATCAACAGCTCTGTCTATTTAATTTATACACCATATATGGTCATGTGTCACTTAATAGCAGGAATACATTCTGAGAAATGTGCCATTAGGCAAATGTGTGGTTGTGAGACCATCATAGAGTGTACTTACACAAACCTAGATGGTAGAGCCTACTACACACCTAGGCTATATGCTATGACCTGTGGCTTACAGGCTACAAACCTGTTCAGTAGTTACTCTACTGAATACCATCGGCAATCACAATAATAAATGTGTATTTAAACATTGCTAAACATAAAAAAGGTACAGTAGAAATATGGTACTGTGATCTTATGAGGCCACCATCATATATGTGGTCCTGTCATTGATCAAAACACCATTGTGGTACATGACTGTATGTATATATGCCTTGTGTCATATATTTATATGTAAGATATTTGTTTTTCATATAAAAATTCTGATTTTAATAGAAAGTTTAGAAAATATTGAAAATAAATTTTAAGTAGGGGAAAATTTAAATGGCCTGGAATTATACCACCCGGAACCAGCCACTGTAAACATTTTATCTTGGCTCAGTGTGGTTTTGTGTTCGTGCTGAGTATTGGTATGTTCTGAAGCATGTTATTGTGGCTCATGTTGTCATGTCTGGCTTCTGTCTCCCTGACCATTCCGGCCAATCTCGGGACCCCTGTGGCATCTTCTACCAGGTCACTCCTACATTTTCTCCTAGTCTTGTATGCTCTTTGGAAACAGGTCTGTATGTCTTCCTGTCTGCAAATGCCACCAGGTGGACACGTCCCCAGGCACCTCACTCTCAGAATGTTCTGCACTTCATTCACATCCCTCCTAAGTGCAGATCATGCTCCTCCTCTGTCCACTTGCCTGCCATCTTCTCACTCATCGTAGTCAAATCGCCTCACCTGACTCCCTTCACAACTAAAAACAGTCATTGCCCTGTCTTTCTCCTCTGGGACCACCACTTTATATGGTCCCCAGTCACCTTAATTCTGCCCTTTAACACTTTCTGCTGAGCTGCTACCTCTTCCCCCCAGATCTTCTTCCTCAGAGCTCCTCCTCATGCAGTTCACATTTCCTGGAGGCTCAGGCTCTAGGGCCTGATGACTCAGGTTCTAACCCTGCCATTGTTCCTTGCTGGCTATGAGACTTTGGCCAGGTTATTGATGGTTCTGTATTCAGTTTATTTTTTCTTTATTTTACTTTAAGTTCTGGGATACATGTGTATAATGTGCAGGTTTGTTACATAAGTATACATGTGCCGTGGTGGTTTGCTGCACCCATCAACCCATCATCTAGGTTTTCTGTATTCAGTTTTCACCACTCTAAAATGGAGTTAACCATAGCACCTACTGTAGAGCTCTTGAGATGGTTAAAATATGCAAAACATTGGAGTAGTTCCTAGAGCATCATGGTGCACAAAAACAGCATCACAGCACTTGCTGTGAGTCAGATATTATTACACTTAATTGGAAACTTCCACGTGTATGTCCTAATCCTGATTGAAATCCAAGCCATCTCTGATCTGAGTTGATGTTTCTCTCCTCTGAATTCCCAGTCATCTTTTCTCTGTACCCCTTCTAGGGAGCTTAGCGAATTTTACCTCCCTTTAGCAATTTTTATACTACTGTTTATACTACTGTTTATTATAAAAGTAGACTTGCTACCTGTTATTACAATATTTCTGCTTCTCCTATAAACACCCTGAGGGCAGAATCATTGCCTAATTATTTGTGTAATCTACCACTTCCTTCGCTACATATAATGGCTTGGATGTGTAGACCTTTTCTGGTTTTATGGAGATAGAATCCACCTACAATACAATTCGGCCATTTAAAGCGTATAGGACAATGGCTTTTAGTGTATTCACAGAGTTGTGCAAGCATCACCCTAATCAATTGTAGAATATCTTTTGGTTTGTTTGTTTGTTTTGAGATGGAGTTTTGCTCTTGTCACCCAGGCTGGAGTGCAGTGGCACTTTCTCGGCTCACTGCAACCTCTGCCTCCCAGGTTCAAGCAATTTTCCTGCCTCAGCCTCCCTAGTAGCTGGGATTATAGGCACCCACCACCATGCCCAGCTAATTTTTGTATTTTTAGTAGAGATGGGGTTTCACCATGTTGGCCAGGCTTGTCTCGAACTCCTGACCTCAGGTGATCCACCTACCTCAGCCTCCCAAAGTGCTGGGATTACAGGCGTGAGCCACCGTGCCTGGCCAGAACACTTTTGTTACTCCCAAAAGAAACGCCATACCCTTTAGCTATCACCTTGGACTCTCCTCATTCCACCCAGTCCCAGACAACCACTGTTCCACTTGCTCTATGGATTTGTCTCTTCTGGACATTTCATATAAGTAGAATCACACCATATATAATCTTTGTGACTGGCTTCTTTCACTTAGCATCATATTTTCAAACTTCACCCATGTCATAGTGTATGTCAGTACTTCATTTTCTTTTATGGTAAAATACTATCCCATTGTATGAATATATTAGATTTTATTTATCCATTCATGAGTCGATGGATATTGTATTGTTTTGCTTGTATAGTTTCTACTTTTTGGCTATCATGGATCATGCTGCTGTGAATATTTGTGTGCAAGTTTTTACGAGAACATGTTTTCATTTCTCTTGGCTATAGGCCTAGGAGTGGAATTGCTTGGTCCTGTGGTAACTGTATCTTTAACTGTGAGAGGAGCTCCAAACTGTTTTCCAAAGTGGCTGTACCATTTTACGTTCCCACCAGCTGTTTATCTAGTTTCTCCACATCCTGTGTATGGCAGATTTTAATAGGGAAAGAACAGAAAGAATAGTTCTTTAAGCTTGATTTTCTAGTTCAGTAGATGCTAAAAGAGGACTTTCTTCTAACGCTTTAATTAACAGCAGATTCTATTAGAAAAATGTCCTTCATCCTCAAGGGATGTCTTGTCATACTGGGAAGACATTTTAAGAAGGAAGAAGGTAAGAAGATTAATCTGTATTCAAATAAAAATACAAAGCCTGAGGATTTTTTTTTCCTAGTATTTTCATTACATCAATAGGGTTTTCTTAAGAAATGCAAATATGTATGATTTTGCCACAGATAAGGCAGTGTTATTTAAAGGTGGAGACAATGTACCAGATCCTGTACGAACAGTGAAATTTTTGAGAGCAAAAAGAATTGGAGTGGGGTCAAGTAACTTAAGGAAAAATAAAAATCTATTGAAGTAAGCAAGAAAAGTGGGGGTAGAATAGAGTTGGCATATCAGGTAGGACATGGGGGCATCCGGTATGTCTGGAGGCCACTGGGGGAGGGTGGTGGGGGCTGGAAAGAGAGGCAGAGGCACTGCCCCTTCCTGTGTTATAACATGACCACATTTCTGGTGATGAGATAACACAATATAGGCAAGATGGAAAAATTCCTAATCCTGAAATAGTAGTGCTCAATTCATAAAGCACTTACCATGAATCAAACTCTGTACTAAGCACTTTATTTTTATTTATTTGTTTATTTTTGAGACAGGGTCTCTCTCTGCTGCCCAGGCTTGCATGCAGTGGTACAATCACAGCTCACTGCATCCTCGAACTCCCAGGCTCAAGTGATCCTTTCATCTCAGTCTACCAAGTAGCTAGGACTGCAGGCGTGTGTCACTATGCCTGGCTAATTTTTCATTTTTGTAGAGATGGGGTTTTCACCGTGTTGCCCAGGCTAGTCTTGAACTTCTGGGCTCAAGCTCTCCTCCCACCTCAGCCTCCTAGAGCGCTGAGATTACAGGCATGAGCCAAGGCGCCTGGACCTAAGCATTCTGTATACATTACCTCAGTTTAATCCTCCTATCAAGCCTATGGTTTAGGTACAATTGTCCTCACTTTGCAGATGGTGAATTAAAGGCACACGGAGGTTAAGAAATTGCTCAGATGACCACAGTGAATAAGTGTTGATGCTGAGCTTTGTGCCCTGGTGCCCGTGAGCCTCCCAGGTCCATGGTCTAAGCCACTGTGCCAGCATCCCTCCTGTCTATGTTTTCTTCACCTACAGTGTCTGAATACAACAATTAAAAACAATGAACCATCTTGTGATTTTAGCTTAATTGAAATCAATTTAAATAATTCGTCAAAGGCATGTGATTTAGTAGCAGTTTTTAAATTAGCAGTGATGTAATGTAATATAATGTGCTAAGGGGTATATTGCAAGTTGAGGCAGAATGCGGGGATTTATAGACCATGTTATGAAGATTCCAGTTTGTGCAGAGGCAGGGAGATGCACTCAGTTTTCATCTTTGGAATCCAGTGATCACATTTGTGCTTTGGAAATATCTCTCTCGTTGCAATGAGGGGTTTGTATTGGAGGGAATGGGAGATGAAGATCAATCAGGACTCTTACAATAGTTAAGGTGAGGAATGAGAAGGATCTGAACTAAGACCAGGGCGGTAGCAGTGGACAGAGGGACAGGTGCAAATCTAAGATAAAGGGGTCACCAGTTGGTTTCTGCGAATGAAGGCAAGACCAGAACCATGTAAGTCTCCCAGGGTTCTGAGAGGACCACAGGACAGTTAGAGATACAGTTCATCAGGATGGATTCTAATAAAATGGAATTTTATAATAATGAATATCGCTTCTCAAGAACAAAAATGTGTGCATTTTTTCCACTTTTCCATTTTGATTTTTTTTTATAGTCCTCACTCTGTTTTCTTTGAGTCAAAGCCATTTTCGTCTTATCAGATATGACATTCTTTTTGCAGAAGCAATTCCAGCAGGTTTAATAGTTTAAACTTAATTTATGAAAAGTCTATTCATGCCCTTCTGGGTCATTTAAACAGGCAGCATCTTTTTGCAATTTCCTGGACCCATCGAGTTTGCCCAAGTGCTTACAAATGCACATTGTTCAAGATGATAAATGACTTAACTAGGAAATTGATAGCTAATTTGTTGAAAACCTCTTATGATTCCAGGCTGCTCTCGCAGGAGGCACCACCATGATTATTGATTTCGCCATTCCTCAGAAAGGTGGCTCCCTCATTGAGGCCTTCGAGACCTGGCGAAGCTGGGCTGATCCCAAAGTTTGCTGTGACTACAGCCTTCACGTGGCAGTGACGTGGTGGAGTGACCAGGTAAATCACCTGAATTTCAATGTGT